CATACGTTCTTGCTAAATAATTTATATCTATCCACGTTTTTTGTTCAGCAAATAATAATAATTTAATAAGTTCCAAAAGAGTACCTCCAATTTAGGTTATATATAATTGTGCTAGTTTTGATTGTTGGAATTTATTTCATTCCGATTATATTTGCCCCCAAAACGTACTTCTACTTATGAATCTTTCTAAAACCTTTGGAGATTTTTCAGGACAGCATAAACTAAACTATGGTTTTATGTTAGCTCTGTTTTTATTTTATCTTGTATTTAATTATTTTTCTAATACCTTTTCATTCCTTTTCTGAATTCAAATGCTTACAAACATTGCAATAAATGTGTTATTGATATTTTAAGTTCTTCTAATAATTTAACTACCATTTTATCAAAAACTTTTCCAATTGAATCAGTTTCTCCAATTATTCTTTTAGGATCAATACCTCTATCAAAACCAATGGGTCTGTCATCATCCTTAAGAAGGAAAAAAAAATCTCACATGAATTTGTAGCATTTACAAAATTAAAAAAAATAATAATAAGCATACATTTGAAATAAAGCAATGATCTTATAAAAAAGGTCTTAATAATATGTCTAACAATACACAGATTATGATAACAGACATTTCAGACAAGTTATGTAAAACAATGAAATTACACTATAGTATTTAAAACTTCATACACGTTACTCAAATAGTTTCATCATTAGGCATCAGATGGTAGGTAGTGTAGAATGAGTCAAGTGTTAAGTTTTTAATGGTTGATGTAAAAAGAGATGAATGAAAATAATTCAGACCTACTTTTTCCTTTGCCATTCATTATAAAGAAAGGGTAAATTTACACACCAAACTTCTCTTTTGTTAATCAAATTTGTGTTAAACCAAACATTTAAATTTCCAATGTATGAAAGTAACTGTATGCATAGTAACTGTTTCCACAAATCAACAAAAATAACAGTGCTATTAATTTAAGTTTTTTCAACCTATACATATTTTCTTGAAATTAGTAACCATAACCAACATAATTTTCAATCTAAGGAGTATGGATAGCACAAACCACATCTACACTGATCAATTATAGCAATATCACAGTAATAAGAAGCTTATATTGAGTGTTAACTTTAGGTCTAAATTCTACTTTGTAATAAAGTAGAAATATTAAGCAAAAAAGAAAATTATCAAAAACCCTTGCATAAATTAATTTTAATTAAATGTTGGCTTATTTTTTTTTTAAATTGTGCACTACTATTTCAATACAAACATCTTTGTAAAATAAAAATGGTTATGCTTTTAGTTTTTAGAATTTATTCGTGTACTTCAATAAGTTAACTTAACCCTAAGCTATTCAAGCATCATAAATTACAAATACCTAAACATTTATTTCATTAATGATGATTTTTAGTTTTATCTTTTGCTTTCATGTTAAAATATCAAATGTGTGTTTTGATTCACAGAGATAAACCAGTGTACAACTTTGGAGAGAATAAAGTTAATTAATAAACTAATGCTTTTGGTTTTTCAAACTATGATGAAATACTTTTAATTAATCACATTTGTTGCATCATTCAAACACTATATGCTTCTTATGCAACTAAATGTAATTATTTAAAGTTATACTTTAATTACTTTTCTGTGGTACAATGCAAGCCCCATAAAATGAACACTTTACAGATACCACATACATTTGTTTTCTTATAACACTCCAGTATATACTTAAGTTGAATTAGTACTTTTTAGTGTTACATGTCACGTGGTTATTGACTAATGAGAACATTAACTTGGACTTCAATCCCAACTATTTAAAACCACTCTTAGTTTTTATTTAATACTATGGCCACTGAATTAACTCCTAAAGTTCTGACCAAAGCAAGCAAGCTATCTACATAGATCAGAACTAAAACTAAACCCAGTAATGATATGATTTACACATTAGAAAAGCTAAAGAACATGCACCCTTCCCTCTGATTACTAAGTCCTATCGTAAAATGTTTGTTAGTGTGTATTCCAGATAGAGTGGTGTCATAGCTAATTCCAAACCACTGACCACAGCGACCAAACCAGCTGGCAGCAACAACTTTTATCTTATTATTATTATTGTGTATCATCTTTTTATATGAAATTGTGACACCAAGAACAAACCCAATGGAAAATAAGATGATTTTAATACTATTGCTTCTACTAGATTACTACTATTCATTTGAAAAGTTTGGCACAGGCTCTCTTTCCACCAATAATCTACAGGTTCCTATAGAAATGATGCCCAGTTCAATTAGATTTAAGTCACAACTGTCCTTTCCACCTTTCAAATTACAAGAGAAATGTAACAAGCTAAAATTCCAGACTTTTCTAATTCACATCCTATGTTATACATTATATTATAATAAATAATAAGATCAATATTATATATATATATATTAAGCATTTAAAACTTTAAAAGTTGTTTAGTAGGTTATTTGTTAAACTGTCATTCAGGAAAGTTAAAAATACAAATTATGGAAGTATGTATCTATACTATCAGGCTAAGCTGTATCTTGAATAATAAGCATGGATGCCTAAAAGTATGGGATCCAAACAAATCTTTTATGAAAATATAATTTACTTACTCAAGCCTTTAGTAATGATAAAAGATATATATATATATAAATACTTTTGTATTTTAATATTCCTTTTCATTTCTTATATACTATCCAACCTATATAAAAGTCACTTTGTGTGTCACATCATACTTGATTTCTTGAAATAGAAGGAGTCATAAAAGCCAAAATGTATTTATCCAGATAAAATAATTCAATCACTGTCTGCCCATTACAGGGTTGCAAGAGGTCGTTAGGGTGTGTGTGTGTGTGCCATGAAACCTCGTAAGTGTAATGAGTGTTGGTATAATAAGTCGAAAGTAAAGACTGTGAGTTGTGAGATCAGCTAGCCTAAAGCCAAATCTATAAAATTTATGATGAAAGTAAAAATATCAATTCAATTTTAAACATAAATAGTTTCTGAATTATGCTATTTTCTGTTATATCACCAACGTTTTTAATAAAACAAACAAACCTCTTTAATCAATGGAGACTAACTTAAGATACACAAATATTTTTCCAGTTTTGCTGTCTATACATTTCATTAATACTTTCAGTACATAGACTAATGATAATATTAGATTATACTTTAGTTGCTAAGCAACATGACATAAAAGCCATTGTTGGAATGTAGTGTTACCAAAATACACTGGCTTTTCTATATATTAGAAGTTGTTAATCCAACTGATTTTTACCAATAATTATTCTCTGAATATGCCACAAATTCATTTCATGAATGATCTTAATTTTGATTGGCTCACAAAGGAAATTACCAATATTTGACTGCCTCCTCGACTGCACTTTTCTGACTCTTTGTTGGTCAAGTTTGATTTTGTAAAATGTATTTATTTTAGTTAGCTATTAAATGTGAGGTTAATTGTATACCATGGAGTGGGGGTGGTAGTACTTGCCCCTCATTTTTGATGAGCTATACACTAGTTTTATTTATAATACAGTTTCATCAGTTAGATACCCTCCCTGTTGACGATATTTTCGGTCATAATCCCAAATTCCTACTAATTTTCATTATATTTAGATCACACAGAACATTAAAACACACCTTTGAAATTATATTCAGCCATGAAAACTTCTCAAAACAAATGCAATAGTATCAGTTAAATAGGTTTGTATTAATTACAAGTATTTCAGTTAAATAGATTTGTATCAATTAGAAGTATTTAGTTAAATAGATTTGTATCAATTAGAAGTATTTAGTTAAATTGGTTTGTATTAATTACAGGTATTTCAGTTAAATAGATTTGTATTAATTACAAGTATTTCTGTTAAATAGGTTTGTACTAATTACAAGTATTTCAGTTAAATAGGTTTGTATTAATTACAAGTATTTCAGTTAAATAGGTTTGTATTAATTACAAGTATTTCTTTTGGGAAAAAAAATTTGAATATATATAATCAAATTTTTTTCACATTGCAAAGTATGAAATAATGGTTGGCATTAGGTAAATTACTAAACAAGTCTAGTAAAACTGTAATGAATCGATTTGTAAACTAAACACTTAAAACTAAGTTAAATAAACATTTTAAATGTCTTAACATTAACAATAAAACTTGATCATACTGGGCCTATGAATCTGTGTAGCATAAGTATGAAAATAATAAAAGTAAATTAATATATATAGGCTGTAGCATAACACAAAATCACAAATCATAAGCTTTTACCATCACATTTAAGCCAGTCAAACAGAGAAAGGTGATTTTAAAATATAGTAAATAAAAACAGAGAGAAATAAATTGAACAAATTATACCCTTTTTATAAAGAAGTCGGTAAGTAAGCTCACTTGTTTCAATAATGAAATGTTTTTCCTTCATCAGGAAATATTTTTTTAAATTATTACAAACTTCACAGGGCCATGATGTTTGTATCAATGTCACCTGTACCACAACTGTTTGCAAAAATACATACGAGTAACTGTTCTTTGTGGTAGTAAATACATTTTAACCAAACCAAAGTTGACAAACACTGTATTTAAATTAACCATTATATATCTTTATGGTTAAAAGAAATATTAAATAACAGTTTTCAGTACTTGAAGAACTATTCTAGGAGAAGATGGTGAGAAGATACACAAGAGATGTATAATTACCTACATTTACAAGCTTAATCATGTGTACTTGTATTAGAATACAAGTTTCTTTGAGCGTAATGCACAAAAGGTGTACAATTATACAACTCTTTCATTATTGAAGATGCCTTAAAAATAAATGTGAACTCATTCCATGTTTCTATTCAAAGTAGTTGTTGAACATTTTCACACAACCAAAAATTCCTAAACAATTTTCCTGCAATATGAAATAGGTATAAAATATGTTCATTACATTCCTGGTTTAGAAAAATGTTAGATATAAAGCAAAGTTTGAAGTTTTGAGCTTGTAAACTTCGGAATATGAAAGAATTAGAGGTAATCTGATTCAGTTTTTTTTTTTTATCATTATTAGGGTTTTTAGTGGTATGAGTCTGTAGAGTTACTGTTAAGCCACTAAGAATCACTTTACTGTGGATTTGTATAAACAGACTATAAGCTGCCTGAGTGATGGGATGATAAAATTAAAAGTTTATAAACAGTAACAAGTATAAGCTTTAAAAACTCAAATCTAGACTCAATCTCCAGCAAAATTATCTTTCCTGTGGAATGGTTTACTTGACAATGATGATGATGCATGAGCTGATAATGCAAATATTTTTTAAACAATTCATCTGTGTATGTTTCAATCTGGAACTGCTAGTAAATATTTAAAATTAAATTACTTGTAGTACCCTGGGGAAAAAGATGCATATGTTTATACTTGTTTTTATGTGTTAAAGATGTTCAGGAAAGTTTAAGACTGTTGGTACTGCATCTGGTCACAGTCTGAAAGTTTGGCTAGTTTTGTTAAAATAAGCCTCTTCAAAATTATAAGAATACACTACTGCCTTGTTTGGTGGCTTAAATTCCTTTCTCTTCATCCTTGCTACCCATAGCTGTCATCTATTAATGTTCTTGAGAACCTAAAAGAAGAAAAAGTGCACAATTGAGTTTAACTGATTGTTTTTTTATACCAATCAACTTATTTAAGGTGGTACATGTGGAATACAATATTAAATGATTCTGATTTATGTTAACATGGCATTTAAGGATAACAATGGCCTGCTGGTCCATCTGACTTTCCCGTCCCATAAACTATTAAAAACTCAAAGCCAGCCCTTATCATTCAAATATTTATCAAAACTTCCTTTCAACTCCCTTAGATTTACTGCTTCCACCACATTTAAAGGTAAGCCATTCCAAAGACCAACCACCCTGTTAGAAAAATAAGACTATCCTGAAGATTAGTCCTACCCTGCCCAAATTTTTGTGTATATTCTAGAATATAATAACCCAGCCATTTCATAATCATCAGATATGAGCCTTCCTGTATCATCCCTCATAGGTTCTATTCTCATTCTAACATTCTCCTTACCCTTAATGCAAAGAAATCCTTCATATTAATTTTTTACATTTACTGTCAGTCTTTTTTCATACAACTTTTTACATTTCCTAATTTTTTGTTTGACCAACTCTCTTGATCTTTTACAATCCTCTTAATCTCTCATCATAGCAGTCAATTTAAGTAAATTTAAAATGCTTTTCTTTAATTTTATTCTTTTACCCTTTATAGGCCTTTTTTTGTTTAGTTTTTACTTATAGCCACCTATTTTTTTCTATAAGGAATATATCTATCTCAAATATTTAAAAATTGGTTTTTACATTTTGTACACATTTCATCAGTATCCCCAATTCACAACATATAATTTTTATCATATTCCTTCAAAATTTGTAACCAAAATCTCTTTATTCCTGATCTACATATGCAGCAAAACATCAAATCAGATAGTGCAATGATCACTTGCACCCAGATGTTCTCCAATCATTATCCTATCAATTATTTTTATATTAGAAGTTGACAATAAATCTAAAATACCATTGTCACTAGTAGGTTCCCTGACCAATTAGTTAAAAAACCCATCCTGAATTGTTTTTAAAACCCAATTCCCTCATGGTTTAACTAAATTTTCCCAATCTATATGCCTGAAACTAAAATCCCCCATTATTATGATCTCATTAACAGCTCACATTTACTTCACTATAAAATTTCTCATTAATTTAATCAGTATCACTTGGTGGTTTGTAACAAATTCCAATTAAAAACATTTTCTCCTTATAACCGCCAACAGAAAACCAAATACATCCAATCTCTTTTCTATTACTACAACATCCGAAAGTTTAATAAGAAAAGCCACTCTTCCTACCTCTTTTTTAGAACTTTATTCCTATTGAATAATCTATAACCATTCATAATAAAAGAAATTCCTGTCATCAAAATGGTCTTCATAAACTAATTCTGTACTATGTTCCTATCCTATACTTTTCGTTACTTCTTGTTTGTTTGTTTGTGTTTTCAGTTTATTCTGGTTCTCACCACTGGCTTACTTTTAATCCTAGTTTAATTAAGGCTGTCACTGCAAACAATCTAGCACCTACCTATTTAAATATAAACTATCCATTCCAAAGAGCTCCTGCATCCTAGTATACAAATAACATCGCGATTTGGAGCTTCTCAAGTAATCCACACACAGCCATTTCTAAGGTCGAAATCTCGCTCAATACCATACATCAATGGTGTAATAAATGGCGCGTAATTTTTAACCCCACTAATACACAAGCTATCGCTTTCCTCAAGAAAATCAATAAAAGCTGGAAAAAATTTAGTAATTTGTGATTAACATTAGACAATATAGTAATACCGTTCTCTAAATCTGTAAAACTTCTAGGTTTAACTTTCAGCTCAAACTTATCTTGGAGCAAGCATTTTAATGATATAACCAGGAAATCAAGTAACAGAATTAACTACTTAAGGCGCATTGAGGGTATTAATCAAGAATGCAGTGCCAAAACAATCATCACTATTTACAGAACTGATACCAGACCTTTATTCGAGTACGGTAATGCGGTAACATGTAATATGACTGACTACCAATATAAGAACTAAGTTACAAAATCTTCAGTAAAGAGCAATTAAAATAGCCCTTAGACTCCCAAATTACACCCCATTTGAATACCTGAACTCACTTTCAGTCATACCACCCTGAAAGAACGCTTTATAAGGTTAGCATCTCGATATTTATCACCTTTTAACGTGATTAAGAATCTTAAAAACACTGTTCCATAAGTCACAGTTTGTATAAACTATTGTTACGTCACCGTTT